GCAAAAACTTGAAAAAAGCCGGGTGAAAACCTTGGCCCGAAACATGAGATGGCGAGGTGGACGGAGACGGGGGGGGCAGTGGGGATGGGGAAGAGAACGAGAGTGTGTGTGATAGTGGTTACTCGATGTCGACACGTTCGGGGCCTCTCGATATCGACGTCGCCTCTTCCTCCTCCTCACCCACCTTCTCCTCCTGATCCTGCCCATATAAATCCCGACCCCGATGATGAGACCTGGGCGCTCGATGCGGGGGTCGCGCATTCGACGTCGAGTGCGATGTCGATGTCGAGTCCTTGAGCTGGTTCTTGTACTCGAACGCCTGCGCGGGCGTAGGCTCCCGACCCGCGGCGATCTCGCTCGCGACCACGAGGGCGGCCAAGCGAGGCACCGTCTTCTGGCCGGGGTAGTGCAGGCCGAGGGTGTGCACGAAGTACTCGCCAACCTTATCGAGCTTCGCCTCGACCCCCAGGTGGGGGTCCTGTAGCAGCGCCCACATCTCAGTCGTCAGGTAGTGTTCTGGGTACTGGTGCGTCTGGTACTGCACGTTGAAGTTACGCCCGTCACGCTTGCCCGTCATGGCGATGTCCATCGTCACCGACTCCGTTACTGCAGTTATCAGCTCGCGCTTCTGGGCGGCCGTGAGGATGTCTGTCGCGTTGACGGCGTTTACGGTCTGAGTCGCGTCATCCCTGGCGCAACCACCACGACGGGCGATCATCTTCACGTGGGCCACCTGGCGCTCGATCACCTGGGCCCGATCCGCATCCTCCATCTGGGCGGTCACCGCCCGCACGAAGCCGACGACGCCCTTGAAGGTGGCGAGACACGACGCCCTTGCGGCGGGTGCCGCCGCCGCGCTCGCCACGGCGATGACGATGCGGACGCGCCTCGATATCGATTGCACCTACGCGCTACGAGCCCAAATGGTGACGGTAAGATGGTGATGCGTAAGGCCCTGCCCCCTCCTCCAGCCCCCCCCCTCTTCCAGCCCACCTCTTCCTGACCTCCCACGCGGCCCCTGAGGCGCTGGGCGTACCAGTTTGGGTGGCCCGATTCGCGACCACCTCGATCGCAGTCGACGTCGGTGGATGACGAGGTGATGGTCACCATGACCATCACCTCGCCGTGGATTGACGACGTGATGGTCATGATGACCATCACCTCGTCACCGAGCGTGAGGTGATGGTCATGGTGACCATCACCTCGTAACCAACGAAGGGGCGATGGTCATGGTGACCATCACCTCGTCACCAACTATCTTCGCTCATGACCGCTGGGGTGGCTGAACGCGCCCAACGATTGCCCATGTCAGCGCTCGCGCGCGCCTCGTTCGGCACCCCGTCGCATCAATGGTCCATCGCTCGTCAGCCTGATGTCCCCCCGCTTCCCCCACTCCGTCCACCTCCTCATGCCGCTCCCACTCCCCATCCTCCTCCTCGGCGGGGGGGGGCGGCCTTCGCCTCGACGGTGCCCACGACGCGCGGCGCGGCGCGGCGAGAGGGCAGCGGCGGCGGGGGGGGGCGGCGAGAGAGCATCAGCGAGGGAGCATCGATAGTCGATGCGACGACGACGACGACGACGACGACGACGACCACGATGAGGGCCACCGCGAGACCAAAAGCGCGTTGCACAAACTGTTCAAGGAGATGGGGGAGGGGTTCGTCCACGAGTGCGCGGCGAACGCGCGCCAGGCACGCTGCCGCCGACGACGACGAACGACGACGACGACGACGACGGCGGCGGCGGCGACGAACGACGACGACGACGACGACGGCGGCGGCTCTGTTTTTTGCATCTGCAGCGGCGCCGTCTCTAGCCGAGATCGACAGTCGACTTTGCCCTGCTCCTCGCGCTTATCATCTGCGGCGCTGCGAGGGCCCAGGCGGGGTCCTCGAGGGCCGCGGCTGCGCTGCCTCGCTGCGCGACGCCACGCGCGGCCCCACCGCGTCCTCGACCATCAAACTCGAAAACACAAGTCGACATCGATTCAGCAGCAAGCCGCGAAAGGGCCCCCATTTACCCTAAGGGGTCCCAAGAGAGGTGGCGCCCGCACTTTAATATAAACCGCAGCCTCGCACCGTGAGCACGGGAGGTTGCGTCGTCGTCGGCCTCGTCGTCACTGTCGTCGTCGTCGGCCTCGTCGTCGTCACTGTCGTCGTCGTCGTCAGCCTAACGACGCCACTGGCCCGCGTGGTACTGTTGCTCCAGGGCCTGCCGCGCGTTCGTCACGCACTTGTGAACGAACTTCGACGGGTTCGTGAGGCTCCACTCGCCAATCTTCTTGAACAGCTTGTACAACACGTTGTTGGCCTCGCGATGACCCTCATCGCTGAACTGGGCCAGGAGGAAGACGCTCTGCTGGGCCGTCCCGTCGATCTCGCATTGACGAAGAAGGCCGAGCCAGGCGCGAGGGTCCCGCTCGAACGTGGCCCAGACGGGCCCCTGCACCTCCTCAGCGACCGCAGGCGCCTCCTCCGCGGCCGCCTTCCCTCGACATCGATGTATTTAGCAAGACTGTATTTCGATAGTCGGGGGCCATATGCGCGGCCAGGGACTCGGGGCAGGGGGCGGGGTCATGACCACTCGGGGCCACTCAGGACCAGGGGGGGCAACGCTGGACTACAATGTGGTTCACGTGAAACGGCCTTCTGTTCCACCTCCATGCTCACTGGCGTTGCAGATGATGAGTTAGCGTCGACAGTCGAGGTGGCTTCGCCAGCTGCTCGAGGATCGACTTATGATAACGTATCGGCCTTGGCGCCGCTATCCCATTCGTAGGAGGGGAGGGGTCAGTTGTTTCGACATCCAAGCGGAGGAGGTCTCAAAATATTCTTGGTACCCAGAATGAGGATGAGGGAGAGGATGGCGAGGGGGGGGAAGCGGGGGGGGGAAGGAGGAGCAAGATGAGGGGCAGATGGGCGGTGTGCGAGATAGCTGGGTGCGTGAGCGAACTGAGACAGACGTATGTGCTGAGGCTCCTGGACCGCCAAAAACAATAAAAGGCCGGGCAAAAAACTAAAAAAAGCCGGGTGGAAACCTTTGCCCCAAGCCTGGAGATGGCGATGTGGACGGAGAAGGAGGGAGCATGGGGGAGAGAACGAGAGTGCGGGTGGTAGTGGCTACTCGACGTCGACGCTTTCGGGACCTCTCGATATCGACGTCGCCTCCTCATCCTCAGCCACCTCCTCCTGCTCCTGGTACCTCTCCTCTTCCTCCGCATCGTCGGACTCGCGGGCGTAGACCCCCCGCACTGGCACTGGGCGCCAGGCGCTGCTGGTCCCCGACTTGCCGTAGACGGGGCAAGCCTCCTTGCCGCCCTCGGTGTAGACCTTGCCGCCTGCGCCCTTGCCGCCCTCGCCGATCCCGCGCGACTTCTCGGCCCGCGGCGGCGACCCTGGCGGCGGCACGGGCCCGACATTGCGCACCATGTGGTACTCGGTGTAGACCCAGTCCCACAGGCTCTTCCACGCTGGGTACGCCATGTGGTCGCCCCTGACCGCCTGGCTCGCGTAGAGCTGAGCAAAAGGCACCTCGCCGCCCTCCGCCAGCTCCCATGCCTTCCCAGGCTCCATCCACGCCTTGACGCTCTCCAGCATGCTGATGTGCCCGCGCTTGCCGCACTGCTCGCCCGATTTGAAGATCTTCGAGTTGCACACGCGCACGCGCATGCCCTCGACATGATTCCTCGACAGCATGAAGTTCAGCATCGCGTTGCACATGCGGCCCACCGTGTGGCTGCGATGAAAGCCGTGCTGGCACTCCACCAGGACGAGGACCGACGGCCACTCCTTGATCTTGTAGTTCGACACCTCGATGACGTTGTCCTTGCACGCGTCGACGAACCCTGCTTGTGACATCACCGTCTTCTGGGTTTGTGCGTGAAGACCGTTCTCCTTGTGTCCGATCGTCTTGCTCGGGTCTTTCGTCAACAAGCGCCTGACGTCGAAGTGAATGACTTTCGACCCCATGCGCTCGCACTCGTGCGCGGTCTCGTTCACCAAGTCCTTGTGGATCTGGCCGTAGGTGATGACACCCACGACCTGCTCGAACTCCATCGAGCGGCCCTCCTCCACGGCGCAGGAAGAGTACAGGAATAGAAGGTCGTAAGAGTGCGCTGCAGCACAGCCGAAGGCGCGCGCGTGCACTCAGAGAGCCGCAATGGCTAGTAGGCGATGGTCGATGGGCCAGCCTCGATTGTCGAGTGTCGATTGTCGATCTGGAAGATAAGCAAACTGCAGCCCAGGAGCTCGCACAGCGACTTTGAGCTCCCCTATAGGCGCTAAGGCCAGTTCCCACCCAGCAAAACCCGCCAGGGCTGCCCAAGACACAGGAAGCCAAGGGCGAGCAAGCTCACCACTCCCAAGGGCCCAGCGAGGACAAACCCATCAGGGCGACGAATGAACCTGGACTCCAGCCTGGATTTAGAATATGAATAAGGGGAGCTCGAGACCGCTTCTGAGACACCCGTGCTCTTCGACATCGATTGCAGCTGGCTCCAACTCCAGGGCACAATGCAACATCCAACGCAATATCAAGTGCAATCGCGATGAGGCAAGTATTACCACAGACTACGTGCACCTATGTACGTACACATATAACACTCCTGTAAGTATTGCCACATAGTACCTGCACACATGTATATATATGTATGTATATATATATATACACATCCCCCTCATACGCAAAGCTATATGTATATATAGACACTTGTATATATGTATATATATATATGTAGAAATATATGCGTAGATATATATGTAGAGATATATAGACATGTATATATGTAGAGATAAAGACCGCCCAAGAGGAACAAACTCCACCACATCATATGAGCAGCAGGGCTTGGACAGGACGGGTGAATGAGGAGGACGAGGAGGAAGGAGAAAGACAAGGAGGAAGAAGGAGGACGAGGAGGAAGGAGGAGGAGAACGATATCGATGCTCTTTTTTCCGTGCCAACCCTGTCACGAAACTCTCGCTTGCTGTGAATTGCGATGTAGCTCAGTCGTCCTCGGCTTCGACAAGCTCCTCTTTCTCGTCGTCGGCGGCAACGCCGTCGGAGGTGCCAGCATTGCTCTGAGAGTCCTCACCTGCCTGAGCTGATTCGAACAACTGCATCGCCTCCGCCGCGGAGCTCGCTGTCCTGTATTTCACGCTCACATGGCCGTCATCATCGCCTGTACGTTTCAGCACGAACTGGCTCTTGGTGTAAGAGAAGCTCAGCCCAGGATACTCCTTAGTGTCGACCTTGAGCTCAGCAGGAACCTTCTCGGACGGATGCTGTCTGTGGACGGTTCCCGACTTGATCTCGAACTCGCAGCACGCCTTCAAGTACATCACGAGGTCCTCCTCCAGCTGCACATACAGGGGGGCACCAGGCCTGTCGATAACGACCTTGAAAGGGATGCCCTTGATGTCGCCCATGGTCGGACCATGTACCGTCGTTGTGGTGCCCTGAATCCCGTCGTGGTTCGACCTCAATCGTTTCTTCCATAACCTGGAGCCAGGCGGCGGTAAGGATGTCTTCTCCATTCCGTGAACGCTAAGCTGGTCCAAGGAGGCTAGCAATGACGATCTGTATGCGTCATCTCTAAGGCGCTCCAATGTTTCACAAATCGATGTGTTAACAAGAGGCCTGATGCCCTTGGAACGCGGATGCCCAAGAAGCTTCATCACCACATCGCAGCTCTTCTTGAGGTGAAAGAATACACAACCGTTTAGCTCCCTGCAATCGTCCAGGATGACTGGCGAAGCCATGCGAGGGGCGCGCACGCGAACAACTTTGCCCACGCACCAGGCCATAGCATCCACCATGCGTCGGATATCGATATCGACGTATTCCTAGAAGCGCGCGGGGGGCGCATCTACATCTGGAGCCAAACAGGCAACGCGCGACGTCGAGCGACAGGCGCACGCGACTTTCGACTGACGTGGCGTCGTGAACCGCGTTCCCCGAAAGAACAAACACACAAGGTTTGGAGCCTAAGCGTCTTAAGTAGTTTGTAAGCGGTTTAAGTGTATACGCGGCCCTGGATAAACGTTCTAAGTTTCGAGCTCGACCGCGATTTGGTACCGGGCACGGCGACGACGATGACGCTGACGAAGCGGACGACGACGACGACGACGCCGACGATTATGTATATGTTTTTCGTGGTAACTAATGCAAAAACTCCAAAACTCCATGGGAATCCAACAGCCCATGATCGATGTCGATGCCTCATCTCTACATCGCTCCACTGCTTCGCAAACCGATGCGTGCATGTATGTCTACCCGTTGCGCGCTACTTTCTTCATGGTGGACGCCTCGATGGTCGGCGGAGGGGGCCTCTTCGGGGCAGCGGTCACGACCTTGGGAAGCGCGAGCTCGTCTCCAGCGTTCAGAGCCATGACGTTGGTGACTACGGGGATCTTGATATCGTGCACTTTAGCGTCGCCCACAGATACGGCCACCGAGTGCTTAGTGATGGCGCAATTCGGCTTCGACTCCGTGCTGTCCACGTGCCTAATCTTGACAGCTAGGCACGGCGCTTTCGCGCCGAAGGACCCCGCGATCCTCTCATCAGGGCTGGGCACATCGAAGTAGGGGCGATCGCTCTCGCCGCACTGCTTGATGGTCAGAGCCGTCGGCACGATGAACAACTTTTTCGCCTGGAACTTCTTCCTAGAGAAAATGCCCACGTTGGGTTTGCTGACTGCCATCAGATCGCCCCCATCGACTTCGAATTTCGACGTCAAAGATACCATGGCCATTGCAATTGCTGACTTGATGTTGATCGCGACGAGATCGGTAGATTTAGAAGCTGCGTCATCGGGCCACCCAGCGAGCAACTCTCTCGTGGTTCTCGTACCGCAGTACTTCTCGATGAACTCTGGAATGGGGCACCGAATAACGATGCGGTGCAAGGAGCCATTCTGCATCACCTCCCGAATCCGAACGCCATCCTCCGACATCGAAGCTATCTTCCACGTTGTCCCTTAGATCGAAGGTGCAAGGGCACAACTCATGCACAGGGGGGCGAATACATGTAAGAGTTTTTATGTGGCATAGAGGGGTGACGGGTCCAAGTTGGTTGAGGGAGTTAAGGGAAAACCACTGAAACTGGTAAACCACCCGTAGCTCGGCCGCGCCCTTGCACCTTCACCGTCCTTCTTCAGCTTGGTGGCGTCATCAACCTTAAGCCCTCTCTGCTCCAAGATGCAGATGTTAGCGTTCGCCAGCTCCCCCGTGCTGGCATCGTACTGCAGCATGCCACTGAAGGGGGTCTGCTTGACGGAGTCCCCATCGGCACCGCTGTCGTTCTGGGCCGACTGGCAGGTATACGGACTGCCGGTCTCGATGGTACCATTTTGCTTTGCCTTCAATGCCTCGATGCACTCGTCAGCGACGCACTCGATGTTTGCGTATCGTTCATCCACCTTTTTCCCTAACAACAACATTGCTATCAACTGGTCGGCCTTACCTATGATCGGAATGCGTTCAATCGTATCGATATCGATCTGCCTGGAAACGCTGTGAAGATGCCGCAGGGCCTTCTCTGCTGCCATCGCTTTAGACTTCGCCTCCGTGCTAGCGAAGAGGGACACGATCTCTGAGCGGGTCACAAACCTGCACATTCGACTCTGCACGGACTCGGGGGGGGCGTTCACGTGAGCCTTGACGACGGCCATTACCAGGTGGGGCATCATCTCCGTCGCCGCGAGCTTTGCCCTGCACAATGTCTCGAACACGCACCCGCCCACCAGGCGCCCAGCGGGCGCACACCTTGACACGAACTGCACGAGGTCCTTGATGAACTGGCCCTGGGACCCCCCACCATATTTCGCCACGAAGTCCGCGCATGCGTCGATATCGTCAACGTACTTCGATTCCGATTTGCTCGCCTCGGTCTTCACCCTCGCCCAGTCGATTACGGACCCGTCGCGCCCCTGCTCGGATGCAATGGCCTGGATGTGAAGCAAGAGCTCGAAATGCGTTTCGTCACTCTGCACCTGGCCCGTCGTCTGCTTTGCCGACTGGATCAAACCTGGAAGTTTTGGCCAGCGTTCCTCTGCTTCCTTTTTCACCATCAACCACCTCAACCCAGTGTCAAGTGCTTTTTCCAAGTGTTTATCTTTGCTTTGGATCTGCCCCGTGTCGATGCGACCGTCGATGTCGGACAACGTTTTCTCCTTCGTCTCAACTCTCTCTAAGCAAGCCACCAGGAACTGATTCGCATGCCCAGAGCTCACGCTCCCTGCGATAATCAATTCGGGCGGGGATTTGCCAAACAGATTCAACGATCTCTGAAACTCCTGGGTATACTGCGCAGTCGTGCCACTCTTATCTCCGGTGCAAACTAAACCAGCCGCTGCCGCGAAACTAAATTTGTTCCTCACGATCTTAGCCCCCAGCCTGTGCACCCCGTGAGCCTTGATGCCCAATCCATATCTGTTTGAAGGGTGGATGCCTACTTGGTGAGGACTCAGATACAGCCACACAGCCATACCAATAGCAATTAACTTCTCGAGGATCACGTCTACCATTCCGACAAGCCCATCTGCTGACGACAGTGCTTGCTCGATGAGGCCGTCCAGGGCATCGACCCCGTCAGCGAACGATGCCATCGCGCGCTCGATATCGAGGACGCTGAGAAATCGACGTGCGACTCTCCTGGCGCTACGCGGCTGCGGGTCCGACTCCGATGGCAATCGAGTTCGGTGGCATCGATTTCGATGGCAAGAGGATGGGGAGGAGGAGGGGGAGGAGGAGGAGGAGGAGGAAGGGGGAGGAGAAGGATACTGATAAGGAGAGGAGGGAGAAGAGAGGAGGGGGAGGAATAATGACTGGTACAAGGAGGGATAGGAAATGATAAGGGAAACGAGGAAGAGGGGGATGCCGACGACGAGGAAGAGGAGCTGGAGGCGAGGAAAGAGGGAGGACGAGGGCGGTCGCGGTGGGAGAGGGCCGCGGTGCCTGGCACTTGTTGCACGGAGGGGCGGGCGGCGCGCGCGCGCGCCGCTCGCCGCTCCGACCGACCAGTCCGATCCTCTCCCACCCCTATATACCCCCACCCCCACAACGAGAATCGATGTCCTCTTCGATCATCCACGCCCTGCACCGCGGTGGGGCGAGGAGGGGGAGGAGGGGGGCGAGGCTCTCTAAGGCAAGAACAATCCGCGACCGTACGAGTTACCATCATCGTCGTCGTCATCATCACCATCATCACCGTCATCATCGTCGTCGTCATCATCATCGTCATCGTCATCATCATCCTCCTCATCATCATCAGCATCAGCATCATCATCATCTCTCTCTCTCTCTATCTCTCCCTCTCTCTCTCTCTCTCTCTCTCTCTCTCTCTCTCTCTCTCTCTCTCTCCCCCTTTTCCTTCTCACTGCAAGGAGCGCCCCTTCTTATAATGGCTGCTCACGTCACTCGCGAGCGCAACACGATCGTTTCACGATCCGTTATTTTGCGGGGGCAAGGGTGGAACAGTTCACGAACGTAAAGCGCGCGCGCCTCCAGCGCCTCCGCTCTGCGTTGCTTTTCTTTCGTGCATGTATCGCGACAAGAAAGAAAGGTTTTGTATAAGTATATATATATGTGTGTATATATATATATATATTATATATATATAAAAAAAAAAAAAAAAAAAAAAAAAAAAAAAAAAAAAAAAAAAAAAAAAAAAAAAAAAATGTGTGTGCATACGCGCGGCGCGCCTCATTCTTCTCTTCATCTGACAGGAAGGACAGACGGGATAAAAAGTTCAATCGCGGGGTGCTCGTGCGACCCGTAGAACAGACAATTAAAAAGCAGGGGGGCGCGCGCCGCGCTACTGCTGATAAGAGTATCGCAGGCGGCGCGCGCATGCATCGATATCGCTATCGGCATCGACATATGATTGTGCATGTGCATACATGCGCATGTGTACGTGCGCGCGCGTTATCTACATCGCAATGCGTGAACACACCTTACACGCGCATATGTGCAAAACTATGTGTATACGAAAATGAAAATGTGTAAGCGTATGTGTGAAACGCTGTAGTAGATGACTGAATCCCATGATGAATATATAGAAAACCACACATCGAGGATTTACGTTGGACATACTAACTCGGGGATAACTCGACTTAGTAAGTCGAAATAGTTCGACATAGTAAGTCGAAATAGTTCGACTTAGTTTTGACTTACTAAGCCGACAACTTCGAGTTATAACTCGACTTATAAGTCGTCTTATAAGTCGGCTCTCGACTTAGCTTTTAGGCTATAACTCAACTTATAAGCTGACCTAAGTCGATCACCTAAGTCGGTTATGCTAAGTCGGCCTAAGTCGACTTATAACTCGACATCGTAAGCCGCCTAAGTCGATTAGTAACTCACGTCCTCAACTTATATATAAGATATAGTCCGCCGCTCATCAAAGCAAGGAGGGGGCCCCGCTGGGGACCCGCCCTCCCCCCCGCAGGTGTGGGGAGGGGGATCGGTGCGAGATCTTGGCCACGGAGTTGTTGGCCTGGTCGTGCCCGTAGTAGAGAGCCACTGCACCCTCTGGGAGGTCTCCGAAGGCCTTCCCGGCGCGCGGCTCAACGCGGCTCCAATGGAAGCTCGCGGGCCCCAGCTTGCCAACACGGTTGTTCAGAGGGCGCAGCAGCTCGGGTCCGAGCTGCGGGGCCTCCAAGGCCTGGGCGTCCGCGGCGAGACCTCGGGCATGCACGCCCGCCAGGGCCAGCCGATTGGTCAGGCTCAGGATGTCCTTCTGCTCGGAAGAGCTGAGAGTGAGCTCGGAGGTGCTGTAGTGGTCGATCTGGGTCTGGGTCAGGTCGTAGGGGAGAGGCCCCTCGAGGGCGACATGCTCGCGCTGGTTGGTGCAACGCCTCGCCAAAGAAAGTGCCCAGGGGTAGAGACCTTTCGAGACCATCCAAGACGCGAGCTTGCGGTGCCGCTTCGCGGGCTCCTCTGGGGGCCCGAGGCCCCATTCGCACATTGCGACGGATATGATTATGGCCCCTGTGCGCTTCTGCAGCTGCGTAATCCTGGCCCGGTCCCAGATCTTCGGGTAGCGCCCGTCGCTGGCCGTGTTCTCGAGCATCCACTCCCGACCATTGGCGTCGAGGCGCTCGCAGAGGTCGGCGGCGAAGTCCGTCATGATGTTGCTCTCGATATCCGCCTGGTTGGTCCCGTCGCCGTCTGGGTGCTCGAAGGTGCGAGTCCCACCGTTCTTGAGGCACCAGGCCGAGTGGGTCGTGCACGGTGGAGCTAACTGGTAAATTGTTGCTTCATCGGGCCCTGGTGCTGCTCCTGCATCGAGAAGGAGCCGTTCTCGCACCTGCGGGTCGAGGATGTTGTGCTCGTCCTGTGGCCCGGCCTGGGCCAGGGGGTTGTTGAAGTACTCGACGGACGGGGCTGTCTGGAGCCCAGCGTCTCGCATGGCCTTCGCCCAGTCCTCGGTGCCCGCGAAGATCTCTCGGGCGCGAATGCCCCAGGCGAAAGCCGGCCGGCGCAGGAGGGGCGCGAGGTTGGAGAAATCCTCCTCCTCGGGCCCCCAGTTCCCGACTGCGCCTTCGCGTGTCGGGAGCTGCGCCTGCTGCATGCGCTTGCATTGCATGCAAGGGGGTGGCCGGCTTGGTATCACGGGTCCCGCAACCTCTTCTGCCTTTAGGTACAGCTCCCAGCCCACCGCGAGTAGCTCCCTGACGGGCTTCCCGGCGAGCGTCCAGATCTTGAGGATCTCTCCGAAGGCCCGGCCCCGCAGGTTGGCTCCCTGGCTGGTGGCGTTCGGCGGCCGGATGACCCTCATGTGGCCGCGGTGGATCATGACGTGGACTTCTTTCTCGCTGGTCTGCGTCGGCACGACAGAGTTTATCTCGAGCTGGTTCCAGTGGTTGATCCTCCAGACCCTGACAGTGGTCTTGCTGAGGGCTCTCAGCGGGAAGACCGCGATGCACCTGAAGTCCTTGTCGTGGTGAGGGTGCTGGACGTCGTGGCAGTGCATCCTGAGCTCGGCTTCGCGTGGGGAGACGAAGGGTGGTGCGTCTCCCAGCGCGGCGGAGGCGGCGGTAGCGCCGTCCCAGAGCTCTCGGCGGAACTGAGCAGCCAAGGCCTTCACGGCCGGCGCACCAGGCTCCTTGTCCTCCCACAGCAGCGCCGCCGCGATGTGGAGGACCAGGCACTGCCTGAGCTCTGCGTCTCCCCCCTTGAGGCCCAGTCGGGTGCGCATCTCTTCGTCGGGGTGGAGCTCGTCTTGGAAGTCGAGGTAGTCCCGCCCCTGGTCGTGCACGGTGAGCTTCCCACGCCCTACCCCGGCCTCTTCGTCCCAGGTGGCGCCGCCGATTGCTGAGGTCCTGCGTGCTGCTACGCCCGGCCTTTGACCCGATCTTGTCGAGGGCTCGTCCTGCTTCCTCGGCGAGGGTTGGCCTCCCGTCACGGGCTGTCTCCAACAGGATCTCCTCCAGGCCCAGTGGGCTGTCCTCGAAGCGGGCGTGCGTGAGTCTGGCCAGGACGTGGGAGTGCAGGTAGTCGCTGATGTCCCCCAGGGCCGCGAGGGTTCCATCCTCTAGGATCCTCTCGATGATGTTCCGCCTCGCCGCCTCTCGATGGCGGCAAGGTGCATCGTCTCGCCGGCGCCCTCCACCGCTGGCTCCTGGGCGCGCGCGTCTAGCAGCCAGTCCTCCCCAGGGCCCTGAACCGCTTGTCTGAGCTCCTCCTCGAGGGCAGTGGTCTGGATGTCGTCGACAGCGGCAGGGGGGGCCCATGCAGCCGGCGGGCCTCCCGCCCGGCTGCCTCCCGAGGTTGCCCCGGACGCCTCTCCGGCGCTCCCGCCAGCTCTCTTGCTGTCCGCCTCGGCTTTGGCCTGGGCCCGGAGCTGCGCCACCCGCCCGTCGACCGAGGTGGGATCGACCTTCGCCCCAGACCTTAGGCCGCCGCGCCTGATAAGCTGCGCCTGCACCGTCCAGTCGAGGCTGCCGAGCCCTTTGATGGCCTCATGCGAGTGGGCGCAGGTTCCCGCAGCCTTGGGGCAGCCGGCCCAAGTACAAGCGCCCCAGCAGATGACCCTCCCATTCTTGTCGCGGGGGGCGTGCTTGACGGATCGTCCGATCTCGCTGGAGGTCAGCGCCTTGCCCGCCGGGTAGGCCCGAGCGGCGGGCCGCTTCTTGGCCGCAGCCTTCTTGGCGGCAGCCCCCGCCTTCCCAGTACCCAATCTAGACCCAGTGGGTACTACCTGGTCGGCTGAGACTTGCTCGTCGGCCTTCCCGGCCTTTGGGGTCTTCGGTGGCATGGCGCGCAAGTTCTGATGCAGAAACCTCTGGAGCCGCCGGGCCTGGCGAGGAACACATACCACCTGGTAGTAGCCGTCCGGCGCGTCGAGGTCGCACACATTCGGGAATGTCAACCAAGCGCTCCCTGTCGGCCCCGTCGGAGCGAGGGCGACGGTCTTGATGTCCTCCCTGCGCGGATTGGCGAGGCCCAGGATGCGACATACCTCCCTCCGCTTCTCCCGAAGCTGCTCGCACCAGGTCGCGGCGAGCTCCTCCGAGAGGCTGCGCGCGTAGTCCGCGGGGAAGGCCACGTCGTCCTCCTCGTAAGCCAGCCGCAGGGTCTCCAAGGCTCGACGTCTCTCCGGCTC